TATTTTTGAAAGATTTCATTTGGACAGTGGTAAAAAGGATGAATTAAAAAGGTGAGACCAGAGGCAGGAACACTGGTCAGAAAGCCATTGCCATAATCTAGAAGAGCAGAGATGAGGGTGTCTGGAGTAGAAGCTGAGAAGAGGGCGTAGATGTGAGAGATATTGTCCAAGTAGAATCAACACAAACAACCATAACATTGGAGAGAATGTCACAGCAATTGATTAGATGTGAGATTTGAAATAGAGAAGATCAAAGGTATTTCCCAGTTTGAACCTGGGTGATTGGGAGAAGAGTGGTGCCATTAACAGAAATAGAGAACGACAGTGGGCACAATATGAGGAGGAAATCATGAGTTCAGAAGTTGGATATTTAGAGTTTGATGTGCTTGCCCAAAGTTCAGGTGTTTCCCAATGTTTGCCAGACACCCTGTAATGAGATCTTGACAAGGAGATACCCAGGCTCTGAGGAACAAAGACCAGGTTGGCTTCATTGATCAACAAGCATTTATTAAGTACTTCCAGAGTGCCAGACACTGTACACGAGTGCCAGGCACTTCATATTGGAGAGCACTCAAAACACTCAAGGATCTTTCTCTCTTCTCTGTCCACAGAACAGCCTCCAGAAGGAGGGAGTGGCTCCTCACTCTCCGGAGGGGCCATCGCTGGCATTGTGATTGGAGTCATAGCTGGAGTGGCTCTCGTTGGGTTCCTCATCTATTTTCTGTTCTTCAGACCTTCTGGAGGGTAGAATGATGCTTCCTCTGGTTTCCCTCCCTCCTAGTCTGTCTCCCTGAATGGGGGAGAGATGCTTTTCTGTACATGCTTCTGGCCCTGGTCCACCTCACTTTCACAAACGACTTTGCAGCACTAATTCCCTTGGGTGACCCCTTTTCTGGGCTTTCATCTTCCCCCATCCCTCACACTTAATTGCCTCTTGGAAACAGGTGTTCACTTCCCACCTTGTGATGGGGACTAGACCTAACCATTTTTCTTAGATCCTCAACCAAAGGGCCTGAGGTCCAAGAAGGCAGAGGTAAAGAAAGGAAGGGGCAGCTGGGAGAAAAGGGACAGGTTATTACTTGAAACCTAGGGAGAAACCAAATGAGGGAAAAGGCCACTGAGGCAGATCCAAACTGCATAGACGAGCTGAGTAAGGGGATCATAGGACCTTGGGGTGAAAGAACTAACACTGAGGTGGTTGCACTTCAGGGATAAGCCTTGACAGAGGGAAAAGGAGCCTAGAGGCCTGGGGAGGGCTCATGAAATCTAAGGGGATCCAAAGAGAAGTCTTTCTGCTCCATATGTCCCTTCTGACTCACGGGGCTCAGTTGCTCTGATTGAGATTTCAGTCACGTCATGTCTGATATTTATTCAGGGCCAGCGAGCATCATGATACAGAGCACAAATCCTCAGCACCCAACCACAGTAAGTAAAGGCACTGACCAACCCATTTAGTGGCCAGTGGGTTCTCTTGGGGGCCCCCTTGCCCTGAAAGATTCCTCCAGCCTCCAGTCCTATGCCTTCACCCTCATAGGACCTTTGTCTTCCCAGGGCCAGGTCCCTCCTGATCTAACTTGCAAAGGGGACCTGGGTGTGTTCCTTCAAAGTCATGAAGAGAAAGACCCTGACACTCCTCTGAGCCACAGGCTAGCAGAGCATTCATCCCAAGCTGGCCAAGTCAGGCCTGCAGCACAGGGACCTGTTTCCAGGAGCCATGTCCTCGGCCTTATTCCTTCCCCTTGTTCATGGCACTGTAATGGGGTGTGGGTGTCTTCCTTTGGTGGGCTTTCCTGTGCGTGTTCTGGGATCCTTCTGCCCTTCTTGACTGGAAATTGCTACTGAGGAATCTATCTGGAGGGAAATTAGAATCACGTTGAGACTTTCATGGAGTGGGGGAAATCTGAAATGGGCTAACCAGGCACCTGTCCGTGCCAACCCTCTGGTGCTAAGGCTGCTGGTCCAGGACTGTGAACACTGAGGAAGCATTTCTTTCTGAGGTTGGTGGTCACTCTGCAATCCCCAGCTCCCTCCTGCAGCCTTCTCCTTCTCCTCCCACTTTCTCTTACCCTGGGAAGAAGGTGAGAATCCTGGGCCAGGGCAAGAAATGAGGAAGAGGGTGGCATGGACTCCCTCTGCTCACTGCCCAGGACAGACCTGCTGCTCATTTCTAACTGCTGTCTCTCTGCTTCCCCAGGACAAACCAACTCTGACAGCTCACCTAACAGGGTAAGCTTTATCCCTTCCCACCAGAGCATGAATCTATGGATACAAACTGGGTGCAGAGAAATTAGATGATAATAATGATAACAGCTTAAAGTCTATCTCATTTGGCCCCATAGCATGAGTTTCAGCCTCATTTGGCTGGTAAGAAAACTGAGGCTGATCAGAAGCAGGGCTAGTACTCACACTCAGGCCCCTGTGTTCTATCCCTTCCCCCTCACTGACCCTCTTCTCTTCTCTCCACACCTGCATTCATTCCTTAAGAGGCTGCTTCTCCAGCTGGCCTGGGCCACACAGGTGCATTCACCTCCATCCCAAAACAACCTTCTCAATCACTAGCTCAATCAATGTAAGAGTCTATTGTTCACTTGTGTCTGACTCTGCATGACCCCATGGACCATAGCATGCCACTACTGCCCATGGAGCTTTCTTGGGAAACACACTGGCATCGTCTGCTATTTCCTTCTCTAGTGGGTTAAGACAAACAGGTTACATGACGCACTGGCGTCACTCAGCTAGTGTCTGAGGCTGGATTTGAACTCAGGTCTTCTAAATCCAGACCTGATATGCTACCTAATTGCCTCTTGGTCCTTCAAGATCTGTACAAGGGATACAAAAATAGGGCATAGACCTTGCTCCCTCCAGGAGCATGTACGAAACAAGGGGATTCAAAGGGGAAATAGGACTGAGACAAACAGTATGGTTCAGAATCACAAAAAAAAAAAATTTTTCTTTCATAAAAGGAAAAGTGTCTCCTTTAACAACCAAGAATGATTCAAAAGTTAAGTGGGCTACCTCAGGAGGTAGTGAGCTCCCTGTTACTGAAAGTCTTCAGGAATAGTCTGGAGGGCCACTGGCTGGGGAGTGGCTTAGAGGGGATCTGTGCTCCAGGTACGAGTTAGACTAGATGTGGTCCTTTCCAGCCCAGAGAGTCTCTGGTTCTTAGATTCCATGAGTTGGAAGGGCCCTGAGGGACAATACTTTCCTCCTCTGTTCAATGTGCCTTCCACTGATCCCACTCTGTGCCTTGCAGACTGAGGAAGTATCCTATGCCTCCGTGAACTTCAATGCCCAGAAACCACTTGCCACGGCTCAGCTCCCATCACACACGGACACTGTTTATTCTGAAATCAAAAAGAAATGACCCAGTCATTCTTGTTCTCTGCACTGTGGACGGACATATTTATTGTGATCTTCCCCCAGCTTCCTCAAGCTCTGAGACACCAGCCTTGTGCAGCCCAACTCTACCACATTCACACCAACCTCAGGGAAGGAAGAGGAGAGTGGCCCTCCCATAATGTCCTGGAGGCTGCCCAGGCAGGCCCCTCCCCTCCATTGTCAACAGATGGCAGGGACTCATTGGGTACTTCTCAGAAACTCACCTTTCTCTCCTCAAAAGTTGGCAGCCTCTCCTAGGAGAGGGTGACCACCAAGACATCTCATCCCTGGCACTCTCCAGTCACACACCTGTGCCTCCCTCTCTGCTCAAAGCACAATCATCAGGCCTGCCCCTAGCTTGGCCAGTTAGGATGATGCGAACTGGGGCTGTTGCCCCCTGACCAGAAGTCAGCAAAGGAAGGAGCAGCTGCTCGATCTGGACTCAGGACTGGATACAAAGCTTAGCTCTGCAGCTTACACCATTCTCCTGACTTTGGGAGACCTCGCTCCCTTCCACCTCAGTTTCTCCCTTTGTAAAATGAGAAAGTCGGATTGATGATCTCTAAGGACTTTTACAGTTCTAGACCCTGTGACCCTGTGCCAGCGTCTGACACATTCTCTGGAAGATGGAAGAGTGGGAGCCGCCCACAACAGATTTTCCATTTTCTATCTGGACTCTGCTGTCCCTGCCCTTCCCTTCCTATGCGTATCCTTCCTCCCCAGCAAGGAAGGGGGTTTAGGGGGGAGGACAAGAGCTCAGGGACCATCTTCAACAGGCACTTTACTACCCGGTCCACCCAGGGAGGGGAATGTTCCCTGTCTTAATGCGCAGTCCAGTTTCCTGAGCACTACCAGAAAGCTGTTAGCCAGGACCCTAAGGGAATTCCCTAATGGAAAAGGCAAAAGTCCAACCCACAGGGCTTTCAAAGTCATTACCATCTCTGCTCAGGGAAGCTGCCCAGAGAGATAAGAAGGGACCAGATTCAGCAATGAGTCATTGTCCCCTTCCAGAAAAATTCTGGGGGGAGGGGGGCTGGGCAGTGGAATCCACACTAGTCCAGAGAAAACTTGGCTTCTGGTGGGCGAATGTTGGGACAATGCAAACATCTGGCTGTTATCTTTCCCTTTTCTGGGTCCTTTCATCCCAAGAAGGATGGGAAAAGGGGCTGGTAGGATTCTGCTGTTCTGTCTTTTACTTAACTGCCTTATCTAATCTTCTTGCCTAACGCAGAAGCTTCCAATCCACTCAATGTTCTATTTCCCTGGTCCCTGTGGCTTCCCAGGGATCCAGTCAAGGTCTTCAGACAGAAATGGGAAGGAAAGGGAGAGTATCTTCTCAAAGTGGGGGGAGGAGGTCCCGGCAGTCACTGGGGACATCAGTCAGCTAGCTCCATGATGCCCACATCTCCTCCCCCGCCCCCACACCCATACACACCATCCGCTGCCTCTGTCACCCCCGCATCCTCTCTCAGGAAACAATGGCCTCTACCTAAGGCATGTTGTGTGGGTGGGTTTGGTCCCCTAGCTCATTGGAAGCTCCCGCAGGGGCCGTGTTTACACGACCACTCACATGGGCAGCAGACACATCCCCTGAGGTCCCCAGGGGAGAATAAAGGATGCAACCCACGAACCTGTCTTGCTTTCCCCAGCCATTGGGAATATTTCTCTGGGAGCTTCACCCATCACAAATGGCTCTATAGAGTCCCTCCACCCCCAAATAGAATCACAGAATAATATCAGAATGGTGGAAGATTCCAGAAGTCATCTAGTCCAGCTCGAACCAGAGCAGGGGGAGAGGAAGAGAAGAGTGAGTTTAGCTTTCTATCCAGCCTTCTACAGGGTTGGGCAGGAAGGTTTTCTATCCAATACTTGAGCTCACCCTGAATCTGAGGGGTCTCTCATCATAGAGAAGATCCCCATAGTGAAGCCTCAGTGCTGAAACACCTCTTCCATGACTCACTCCCCAAGATCCAAAGACTGTACCCCCTCTCACCAGATTCAGACTGGGGTATTTAATTTTACATGGCCCAAGGATGTCTCTCTCTCTCTCTCTCTCTCTCTCTCTCTCTCTCTCTCTCTCTCTCTCTCT